TGCACCGATCATTATGATTATATGGCAGCATAGGTAAATGAATATAGATGATGAGCAAGAGAAATACCACCTTGATCCAAGGAGTCTGGAAAAAAACAGTACCCCCCGGAGACAGCATTTTTTGCAAAATTATGCCAAATGGGTCAAGGGACAAAGTCACGTGACCCATCCGCCACAAACTAAAACTGGGGCGGCAATTTTGCGGCCCAGGGTAACAACAGCACAAATCGTGCACAAATTAGGTACAAATCGCACCAAAATATATGTATTAAGCAAAATGGGTCAAGGGACATACCCGGTAGTCGCATGACCCATCCGTCTCAAACTAAAATTGGGGCGGCGATTTTGCCGCCCAGATCAACAATAGAAGCACAAATCGTGCACAAATTAGGTACAAATCGCACCAAAATATATGTATTAAGCAAAATGGGTCAAGGGACATAGTCGCAAGACCCATCCGTCTCAAACTAAAAATTGGGGCGGCGATTTTGCCGCCCAGATCAACAATAAAAGCTCAAATCGTGCACAAATTAGGTACAAATTGCACTAAATAACCAAATTGGTAAGTGAAAGGCACAAATTGCGCCTTAAGATTGAAATTTTAAAATAAATGCAAATTGCATTGAAAATGATAAATGTGCAACTCGTACACAATGGGGCTCATGACAAGCATCACAGAAATGGTCACAAAACAAAATTACACAATTGATATAATTTCTCAAAGTATAAATAAACATTCTGTTTCCCAAATCTGAAAATTGAACTCCATTATCTCCCTTGCAAAGCATTCTAATATGTGGATAACTGATTGATGCACCACGACCCTTAAACTTACTTACCACAAATGTAGCTCATGCACTATTAATCCTATGTCTGCACTTCTGTCCTTCTGCATTTGCAAGGCAATTTATCAATTATTTTGAGGCAATATATGTGACCATATATGTAACAAGAGGCCCATGTGCCACATCGCTCACCTGAGAAGCTTTAAACATTCCGTTTTTTACCAGATTTCCCCCTTGTAATACATATTATGACCCCACCTTACCCCACTGATCATAATTTAAACGATTTGAAATCTATACTACCATAGGATGCTTTGATTCAACATTGTAAATCTTTGATTCCCCATTGTGGCCAACGTCCTATCCCTGGGGGTCATGATTAGAACAATTTAAAATCTACACTACCCCAGGATGCTTCCACATAAGTTTCAGCTTTTCTGGCCCAGTGGTTCTTGAGAAGAAGATTTTCAAAGATTTTTTCCTATATATTTCTATGTAAAACTTTGATTCCCCATTATGGCCCCGCCAAACCCCGGGGGTCATGACTTTAACAATTTGGAATCTACACTACCCTGGGTTGCTTCCACATAAGTTTCAGCTTTTCTGGCCCAGTGATTCTTGAGTAGATTTTCAAAGATTTGTCCCCATATATCATTATGTAAAACTTTGATTCCCCATTGTGGCCCCGCCCAACCCTCGGGGGGTATGATTTGAACAATTTAGAATCTGCACTACCCCAGGATGCTTCCATGTAAGTTTCAGCTTTTCTGGCCCAGTGGTTCTTAAGAAGAAAATTTTTAAAGATTTTTCCTATATATTTCTATGTAAAACTTTGATTCCCCATTATGGCCCCGCCAAACCCCGGGGGTCATGACTTTAACAATTTGGAATCTACACTACCCTGGGTTGCTTCCACATAAGTTTCAGCTTTTCTGGCCCAGTGATTCTTGAGTAGATTTTCAAAGATTTGTCCCCATATATCATTATGTAAAACTTTGATTCCCCATTGTGGCCCCGCCCAACCCTCGGGGGGTATGATTTGAACAATTTAGAATCTGCACTACCCCAGGATGCTTCCATGTAAGTTTCAGCTCTTCTGGCCCAGTGGTTCTTAAGAAGAAAATTTTTAAAGATTTTTCCTATATATTTCTATGTAAAACTATGATTCCCCATTATGTCCCCGCCAAACCCCGGGGGTCATGACTTTAACAATTTGGAATCTACACTACCCTGGGTTGCTTCCACATAAGTTTCAGCTTTTCTGGCCCAGTGATTCTTGAGTAGATTTTCAAAGATTTGTCCCCATATATCGTTATGTAAAACTTTGATTCCCCATTGTGGCCCCGCCAAACCCCGGGGGGTATGATTTGAACAATTTAGAATCTGCACTACCCCAGGATGCTTCCATGTAAGTTTCAGCTTTTCTGGCCCAGTGGTTCTTGAGAAGAAGATTTTCAAAGATTTTTCCTATATATTTCTATGTAAAACTTTGATTCCCCATTATGGCCCCGCCAAACCCCGGGGGGTCATGACTTTAACAATATAGGATCTACACTACCCTGGGTTGCTTCCACATAAGTTTCAGCTTTTCTGGCCCAGTGATTCTTGAGTAGATTTTCAAAGATTTGTCCCCATATATCATTATGTAAAACTTTGATTCCCCATTGTGGCCCCGCCCAACCCTCGGGGGGTATGATTTGAACAATTTAGAATCTGCACTACCCCAGGATGCTTCCATGTAAGTTTCAGCTTTTCTGGCCCAGTGGTTCTTAAGAAGAAAATTTTTAAAGATTTTTCCTATATATTTCTATGTAAAACTTTGATTCCCCATTGTGGCCCCGCCTTACCCCCGGGGGGCATTATTTGAACAATTTAAAATCTGTACTATCCCAGGATGCTTCCATGTAAGTTTCAGCTTTTCTGGCCCAGTGGTTCTTGAGAAGAAGATTTTTAAAGATTTTTGCTATATATTTCTATGTAAAACTTTGATTCCCCATTGTGGCCCCGCCGTATCCCCGGGGGTCATGATTTGAATACTAGTATTTCAGAATTTACATGACCCCAGGATGCTTCCACATAAGATTCAGCTTTCCTGGTCTAGAGGTTTTTGAGGAAAAGATTTTTTTATGACCCCACCTTGTTTTTGTCTTTTCTTGATTATCTCCCCTTGTGAAGGGACCTGGCCCTTCATTTTAACAATTTAAAATCTCCCTCACCCAAGAATGCTTTGTACCAAGTTTGGTCAAAATTGGCCCAGTGGTTCTTGAGAAGAAGTCGAAAATGTGAAAAGTTTACAGACGGACAGACGGACGGAAGACGGACAAAATGTGATCAGAAAAGCTCACTTGAGCCTTCGGCTCAGGTGAGCTAATAAAAGTTTGTGGGAGTACTAAGTAAATGCCAAAGCAATATTTGAATTGCAACGTTGTGTCATAATATATAAAACAATATATAAACAGAAGGTAAATTTACGACAATGGTCTTGTGTAAATTTTGAAGGCTGCTGACTGTAGGGTTTTTTTCAATTTATCGATACGGGTCAATATACAAGAACATATCGTATCAAAATTAACTTCCAATACGTATCGGACAGGCATTTTTTTCTTCTAATTCTGTTAAAAAGATGGGAATTTCAATCACCAAAGATCATATTTCACTTTTTTGAATTAATTCTGTTCAATAATCATTCAATTTTTTAAGGCAATAACACAGTTTTTAGAATTATTACTAAAGCATCTACAGTGGACCCTCATTTATCCGGACGCTTTGGTTCCCGGTCAATTTGTCCGGATATGTGAAGCTTCCGGATATCTGAATCACCAGTTAAACAAACCAAAATAACATTTAAAAATTTCGTTCCGATGAAAAATCGTCCGGATACTGAAGCATCCGGATATCTGGCGTCCGGATATCTGAAGGTCCACTGTATATACAATTTTAATTTAAAATGTTGATTTTACAGTCATTAAAAGTTTTGATCTGATAGTCATTAAAAGTTTTAATTTGAGGTGTAAGTTGTAATGACCATGAAACACTTAATATTTTATGAAATTCATACGTTAAATGATTTATAAGCCTTTTATGACTGACTTGTTAAAGAATCGAATATATCGCATATCTTTTGAAAAAAAAAATTATTGTATCATATCGTATCTAAAGTTTTGGCTCAATATACAGCCCTGGCGCCTGACTGCCACCTTCCAATCTGCGTAATATTTTCCTCTGAGACTGAAAACACTTTTGTATACAAGTGGGTTGCAACCCTAATGTGAAAAATCAGTGCGTCTTAACTTCAGTTTACTGAATATTCAAAAACTGCAAAGCTTTGTTTAAAGTTTATTCAATGTATAACGACCATATTTTGTACCTAAGAAATGAATAGTCCAATATTTTAAATCATGGTAGCAAAATATGTTGATTGATTAATTATTATTGTATTAATTATTATTGTTCTATTCCCGTGGGGATCCGGGTTAGAATAGGTCCTCAGTACCCCCTTGCTTGTCGTAAAAGGCGACTAAATGGGGCGGTCCTTCGGATGAGACCGTTTAAACCGAGGCCCCGTGTCACAGCAGGTGTGGTACGATAAAGATCCCTCCCTGCTCATTGGCCCTGAGTGCCGAGCATAGGCCCAAATTTGCAGCCCTTCACCGGCAATGGTGACGTCTCCATATCAGTGAAATATTCTGGAGAGGGACGTTAAACAGTATACAATCAATCAATCAATTATTGTTCTACGCCAAGTCGGCAATATTTGTAATATTTGGATGGCGTAACTTTGTATTACAAATCAAGCTGATTTGTATCCATGAGTTCAATACACAACGTGCTGAATCAAAACGCTTATTTATAACACACAAGCGTCTAACTGACTATGACAACAAACAAGTCGTACATAAAATATTCTATTATGACATCTCCCCCTTTTTAAAGAAATCAGTGTTTTAATTTAAACATTGGTAATAAGAATTTATAGCAAAACAAATTTAAATGACTAGATTGTACAAGACTAGATTAAGAAACTTGGCAAGGTATTTGCTTTGGAAAGATCAAGCTTTGAATGTACATTTAAACATACAATTATCAAGTTACTTAACTCTTCAAACATAAAATGGTATTTCAACAATCATAACACAAGACATTCCAAATAATGGAGACAGTCCATATTATGCACAGGTCCATGTCACGCACAAGTCCGTATCCAATCACAACAATTCATTCGAGAGGAATAAAGTCATTAAAACGACTAGGTTTAACAACTGTTCTTCCAGATCGCGTAACAGTCGTAGGAGTTCCAGATCCAGATTGCAATGTTTTCGGTTCATTTGCTTGGTTCGGATTCTCTACTGCTCGGAACGAATCGTTGTCGAAGTTCTCAAATAAAGTGTCTGTTACCGGTATGTCGACTGTTTTCAGATTTTGTGGTTTCGATGATGTAAATTTCACATGCCTTCTATTGCGACGTATGTTTCCACGAGGAGTTTCGATGACGCATGTTCTCTGATCAGGGTCAAAACTCTTGATAACTCCTGTATCCTTCCACAAGTTTTCATTGTCGAGTTTTACCAAGACTCTTTCTCCTTCCTTCAGACTAGGAAGTGGACGTACCGCATTATGCTTGTCAAAGTAGAATCGGTAACGTTCTTTCGTATCCTCATCATGACTGCGGATGGTATTTATGTCCGGCCATCTTGGATTTAACGTCTTGTCCAAAGTAGGTAAAGCTGTTCTAATTCGCTGTCCCATGATCAATTCTGCAGGGCTTACGCCTGTTGCGGCAATTGGCGTTGATCTGTATGCCATGAGTGCTTTGAAAATATCCGGCTGTTTGAGAATGTGTTTTGCAATTTTAACTCCGCTCTCAGCCTCTCCATTCGCTTGGGGATAGTGCGGACTTGAGAATAACTGCATGAAGTTATACTCCTTTGCGAATGTCCTGAAGGTTTGCGAGGTAAATTGGGTACCATTATCTGTAAATAGTATTTCCGGAATGCCCCATCTAGCAAAGATGTTCTTCAATTTGCCAATGACTTGGTCGCTGGTTATACTGGGTAGATAGGCTATTTCCAGATATCGTGAGAAATAATCCATGACAGCTATGTAGTGTTTATCGTCAATTTCGAATAAATCTGCAGCTATTCTCTGCCAAGGACGCTCAGGTAGGGTTGTTGTTTTTAACGGCTCTTTCCTTTGGGTAGGTCTCTGTGCCTGGCAAATTTCACAATTTGCAACTTTGGTGGCTATTTCTTTTGACAGACCAGGCCACCATACAGAGGTTGCTGCACGTTCACGGCACTTTGATATACTCATATGTCCATCATGTATAGTTTCCAGAATCTCACTGCGAAGGACTCCTGGAATAACTATTCTGTCACGGAACAACAGAATTCCTTCAAATATGGAAAGTTCACTTCGCGCAGAAAAGTAGTCTCTAGCTCCTTCTGGTACTGAATTGATGTGATCAGGCCAACCTTGTTTTGTCAAGTTCATAACAAGTCTAAGTTCATTGTCTAGATCTGTCTCTCGCCTTATCTGTTCTAGCTTATGATCCGACACTGGTTTTGTCTCCAAAACAGAGTTCACATAAATGGTAATTTCTTCAACAGTGTTGTCTGTATCTGAATGCTTAGAAGGACTTCTGGACAATGTGTCCGGGACAACCATCTGTTTCCCTGGTACATACTCGGAATACACATTAAATCTGCGTAAACGCATAAGTAGACGTTGACATCTTACGGGTGTTCTGTCAATGTCTTGGCTATTGATTAAAGGTACAAGCGGCTTATGATCAGTAAGCAGTTTGAAACTCAAGTCCGACTAAGTATCTGGAGAACTTCTCACATGCCCAAACTCCAGCAAGGCATTCTTTTTCGATTTGCGCGATTTAGTTTCAGTGTTTGTCATTGTGCGAGAACAATAAGCAATCGGTTTCAGATCGGTGCCTTCCTGCTGAAATATTGCTCCCCCGATTCCATAGCTACTTGCATCTGCACTCACAACTATCGGCTTTTTGGCGTCATAGAAAGTCAAGATTGGGGTTTGGGTGAGCATTTCCTTGATGCTATCAAATGCCTTTTGTTGCGAGGGTCCCCACAGCCACACAACATCTGACTTTAGGAGGTCCGTAATGGGTTTCATGATAGTCGACAGGTCCGGCAGGAACCGTCCAAGATAGTTGATCATTCCGATGATCCTGCGCAGTTCATTCACATTAGTTGGCGCATCCAGCTCTTTGATTGCTCTGACTCTATTCGGGTTAGGACTAATGCCTTTCTCACCAATGATATGTCCAAAGTATTCTAGCTGTGTTTTCGCAAATTCACACTTGTCTTTGTTAAGTTAAAGTCCAGATTCTAGAATCCTGTCAAGCGTTTTCTTCAGGCGAGTGTCATGTTCCTCACGAGTCTTTCCATATATCAATATGTCGTCCATGATGACCTCGGTGCCCTCAAGTCCATGAAGTAGGGTTGACATCTCTCGTTGAAAAATCTCAGGTGCAGATGTTATCCCAAATGGAACTCTCTTAAAGCAAAACCTGCCCAGTGGGGTTATGAATGTAGTAAGCTTCCAACTGTCTTCATGCAATGGCACTTGATAAAATCCACTAGAAGCGTCAAGTTTGGAAAAGTATTTTGCTCCAACAAGTTTTGGTGAAACATCGTCCAAGTTAGGAAGCATAAAGTTCTCTCGTTTAACGGCTTCATTCATTTTCTTTAAATCCACGCAAATACGGATTTTCCCATTCTTTTTCACAACAGGTACCATGGGGGCACACCATTCGGTAGGTTCAGTTACTTTTTGTATGAAACCAGTAAGGTTTTACCTCTTCTTTCAATGTTATTTTCATTGGGGTACACTTGACAAGTCCACATGAGCCAAACACACTAGCTTCGTCAACACGGCAAATAAGTTTAAGTTTGTTAGCAACACTTCGTGCCAGCAAGTTACTAGTCTGAGGCCCTTCGACCACGTAGATGCTAAAGGTGTAGTCAATTCCTTTGAACTTCACGGTTGCGACAAACTTCCCTCTACAGTTGAGTTTTCCACCAGGACTCAGCAGTAGCGACTTCACAGGTGTCAGCTGTGGTTGACATAGAATCCTATTGAAAGTTACATCTGACATAATGGTGATGTCAGCACCTGTATCAATCTTGAAATTTACTGGGAGGTCACATACTTTCAAGGTCACTGTCCAAGGGTCATCTGTTTGGTCACAGTTTACAGATCCTAAATGAAATGCTTCATCAGGTGTTCCATTGTTTGAGTCATAAACATGTAACACTGCATGTGCTGATTTGGTGTTTTTGGACAACAAACTTCAAAATGGTTCATTTTGTGGCAAGCTTTACAACGTTGGCCCATGGCTGGACATCTTCCCTCAGGTCCATGCCTACGGTTACATCTACCACACTGTTGAACACTTGGTTTCCTGTGACTATGTGCTTGTTTAGTAATGAAATGTTTAGGTGATGACTGTTTCTGCCTTCCATACCTTTTAACTTCATCCAGACTTTTGAACTGTGTAGTTTGGTCTTGGATTTGCGTCTTTACCATTTCTGTCTGACGTGAATACTGTATAGCCTCTTCTAATGTTAGTGTGCTTTTGAGCTGCAGATTCTCAGACACTTCTTTATCTTTTAGCCCAATAACAATCTGATCACGTATTTAATCGTTTTTGTCTTTGAAATCACAATGTTCTGCTAGTTCATATAAAGCTCTAATAAATGCTTCTGAAGACTCACCAGTCCCTTGTTTTCTTTCTCTGAATCGTGCACGTTCGTGTATGACATTTTTCTTCGGGACAAAATATTCATCATACTTCTTCATCACTTTCGAGTACTTTTTCTTGTCTCCCTCATCATCAAACGTAAGCGACTTGAAAATATGCTCTGCTTCTTTCCCCATCGCATATATCAAACAATTTACTTGTATATCTTCGTCGTCTTTATGTAATTTTGTTGCTATTCTATAGCGTTCAAACCTTTGTTTCCAATCCGGCCATTCACTCGGATTACTAAAGTTGAAACTCGCTGGTGGGTTAAACTTCGGCATCTTGCAGCGCAATGGATTGCCTTCACTTCTGACACCATGTAATATTTGGATGGCGTAACTTTGTATTACAAATCAAGCTGATTTGTATTCATGAGTTCAATACACAACGTGCTGAATGACTGAATCAAAACGTTTATTTATAGATTCAACTTTCGGCAGCTCCCTGCTACACATTCGCGCATGCGCATTGAGACTTTCGTTTTCACTTCGGATTGTGAAAAAGAAAACACTTCGCACGCAGGATTATGTTGCTCTGGTAAGTTCCTTTTTAATCGAATTTTAAATTCATGTCTCAAGAAAGACATAGATATAGACTTTCTTGTTTTCTTATTAAAAATAAAATAGTATTATGCTATTTTACTCAATTTATCAGGTTCAGTACAATCAGTACATTTAGCTCATTGTACTTACAACAGAAAAAAGCTTATGATCAGCTGTTTTACCCCATAGATATTGTTGGTTATGTGCAATGATTAAAACACTGTAAAATGGTGCACCACAGAAGTCATGCTGATAAGAGGGAGAAAATCTCTCAATTAAATTTTAATTTAGCTACACATCTCATCTCATCTGTAATCTCAGCGAGATTGGTAGAGACTGAATATTTGGTCTGACGTCTACTACCAATCTCAGACAGGTGCCATACAACGTGATTCGGGATTTTTTGCTCCAACTTCGGCAGCTCGTTTCAATAAATACAGGCTGAAATAAATTAGCTGCCCGCCTCAACTTTTTCCTTTGAACATCCCTAAAAGTGTCTATCACTATAAAACTTTCCTTTCTTACCTTTAAAAGGTTTAAATCCAGTAAAATATAAAGTTGTTTATTTTTCCTGACAGCATAATGGCTGTTTGCTATTCATTTAAACCTTCGATTTTGAAGAGTTCCACAATAATCTGTTTCCAATAATTCGTACTATTACTATTTCTTATAAGAATGATCTATAGTATGAATTATTGGAAACAGATTATTGTGGAACTCTTCAAAATCGAAGGTTTAAATGAATAGCAAACAGCCATTATGCTGTCAGGAAAAATAAACAACTTTATATTTTACTGGATTTAAACCTTTTAAAGATAAGAAAGGAAAGTTTTATAGTGATAGACACTTTTAGGGATGTTCAAAGGAAAAAGTTGAGGCGGGCAGCTAATTTATTTCAGCCTGTATTTATTGAAACGAGCTGCCGAAGTTGGAGCAAAAAATCCCGAATCACGTTGTATGGCACCTGTCTGAGATTGGTAGTAGACGTCAGACCAAATATTCAGTCTCTATCAATCTCGCTGAGATTAATCTCATCTGTAGCACACTGGTCTTAAAAAATAGGTATGGATGACAGAGCTAGAGCACAAAAACTTATGCTTGATTGTGAATTAAATTCTCTAAATTCTTTTCTCAATTGTACAAAAGGTAGATTTCATTTCTGTCAATTACTTCTCCAATATTTAATAACTGCACATACAGATACTGATAGCTGCAGTGTGTTAGTCTGTTGGACCAAATAATTTGCCTCTCAAAATGGCAGTGTATACTGTAACATTTTGAGATGGCAGTTTGAAAACGGCCACTGTGAAATAAATCAATATTTGTGCACAATAAATATAAACTTTTTTTTCAACTGGTAGCACTGTAGCTCTCAGACCTGTCAGTGTCACCCAGTATATTTGTTTCAGACAGCTACAGTTCCAGGCGCGGATCCAGAAATTTTTCAAAGGGGGGGGTGAGGTTGGATCCAGAAATTTTTCAAAGGGGGGGTTTGAGATTTTTTTCAAAAGGAGGGGTTGAAGGCGAAAACAGTTAAAATGTATGTTGTACACATACATATAGTTAAATAACTCAATAGAATATCGATACAGGGTGGAGTATGGTTTTTGAAAGTGGGACGTTGATCAATCTGGGAAAAAGTACTTGTATACATTACCAGAAAGTTTTTGAAAAAGAAAGGAAAATAAATCTCCGAACCTGAAAATCCTATTTTGTAAAGGGATGGGGTTTTATTTTGTTTTTACAACCGAATTTCTTTATATATTACAACATTAGCCTTTCACCTTACATTTTCTGTAGTAAAAACAGAACAAAAAAATTGGAACTTTCTTGTTTTTCTTTCTTTTTTGCAAATCCAAAGGGAGGGTTGCAACCCCCGTAACCCCCCTCTGGATCCGCCACTGAGTTCTGCAGCTATTTTTTTTATTATGACTACAGCCTGAAGGTTTTAAAAAATGTTAATAAATTAATTTTAAAAAGGATATTTTCTCCCAGAATAATTGTTTGTAATAATTACCTCATAAAATATTTTAATCCCATCTCCGTAGATTTTTCGAAGAAATTCTATCTTATGATTGGTTGAAATCTGTCGCGTGAAGGAGATGGGTTACTTATTCCCATTCAATTGTAAATCAATATACAGTCAATGTATTATGTAACATAGGCGTAGTCACAGGGGGGGGAAGCGGGGGCACTAGCCCCCCCACTTTCAGATCTGGGGGGGCAAGAGTATGTCTGTGCCCCCCCACTTTTTAATGAATAACAAAATCACAGCTATTTTGAAATAATATTAACACATAGTTTTATCATAAAATTGTGTAGAAAAATTGAAATTGAAAGTAACTTGCCTTTGAAAAAAAAGTTCGCCACTACCCCCCCCCCCCCCCCCCCCCCCCCACGAAATAGGATTTTCGAGTTTGGGGAAGTATACCTTTTTTTTTTTTTTTTTTTTTTTGCTTGTCAAAGAATTACTGGACTTGATTGAGCCCCCCCACTTTTTTTTTTTTTTGCTTGTCAAAGTATTTCTGGACTTGAGCCCCCCACTTTTAATTTTTTTTTTTTTTTTTGCTTGTCAAAATAATTTCTGGACTTGATTGAGCCCCCCCACTTTTAAGTTTGTGACTACGCCGCTGTGTAACAAACACAATGTGACATCATAACAGGCACAGTTTAAGGGTGATGAAGCATGTAGTAGAGAAAAAAAATTATAAACCACAGATAATATGTAAATGTTTCATTGGTGGGGTAAATTTGTTACATAGTTTTTTAGTGACAGGGTACGGGATGATACGTGGTTAGTAAATTTCATACATGACGCGGCTTCACCTCGCCAGGTATAAAATTTACTAACCAGGTATCATACCGTACCCTGTCACTAAAAGACTATGTAACTTACTAATAGTACATGTACCTCCTAAGTTGTCATTTAAATGATTTGATGATATCTGCACATAATCATCACTAACACATGGGGTAAGTCACATGTTGCATACTTTAATAAAACTGATTATATCTACTATATCTTTTACATGGTGTACAAGATTTGACTGACTTATTATACCCCAGGATTAAAAAGTGGAAGGGTAAATAATGTTCGTGGTGTCATCTAGCTGTATGTCTGTCCATCCATCCATCTGTCTAGCTGTCTGTTTGTCTGTAAGGCTTTGGGGTACCCATCTCTTATCTATAACTCCTCTCATACCACTGAATGAAATTTGACAAGACTTTCACAGAATCTTTAATACATATTGCCATTGTGCATCTCCTATTTTACTTTTTGATCCGACAGTCACATATTTTGGGTTTCCCATAGCAAAACATGGTCACTGCCATTATATTCATCATGTTCATATGGGAGGCGGGGTATCATTTTAAGTGAGCTCATTGTTCACTACCTCTAGTTTATCAAGTTTTCTTGGTTGATTATGAACATGATAAATTAAGAGTAATATTTGAATCATTTATAAAGAGATACCAGCAATATCAATATTTATGCCCTTCCATGAATATGGTCGAGGCATTTAGTGTTTGTCATGTCTGTCCTCCATCCTTCCGTCTTTCCGTCACACTTTGCATTTAGCTCTGTTCAAAGCTCAGTTTCAAAAAAACTATCCAACATACCGATATTTTCATCAAACTTAATCAAAATATGCTGATAGATATTGGTGAGAGCTATGCAACTGCATCAACATCTTTTGACCTTGTCCTTTCCTTTGACCTTGACCTCACTAGTCTTTTCTTAAATCAGTGTCAAACTTCATATGCTGATACACACTGATGTAAGCAACTCACCTGTCATTTTTGACGTTGACCTTTCATTTAACCTTGACCTCATTTTTATTGAAATTGTTTTTAAGTTAGTTTTAAAGAAACCATTTATAATTTTTTTTTAATTTCATATGCTGAAACATACTGATGGGAGCTTTTCAACTGCATCAACAGTTTTGACTTTGGCATTTCCTTTGACCTTGACCTCCCTTTAATGAAATTAGTGTTAAACATAATATGCTGATACATACTGATGTAAGCAATTCAACTGCATCACTATTCAAGATTATATATTCTGATCAAATTTCATACACTAATACAAGTTTTCATGTTGCATTACTAATAGGAATTAATTGATTGAAAGCTGCCACTTGGTATTAATCAAACATTTTTGATTAGCAAGGGTGCCTTTTCCGTAATTATGAAATGTGTGGACCAAAGGTCATGGGTTCTTATGTGGTAGTGGCATTACTGATAATTGCTGAATATTACTGATTAGTCGAAATGCATTTTATTGTTCCCCTACTCTGTCTATGGGTATTAAGTAACCAAAGTAAGCATTCTAAGTGTATACTGTAAATCACTTTTTATTCGCGAGAACTTTATTTTCGCATAATTACGCGAGACAGTGTGCTCGCGAAAATTAAATTCTCCCATATAAAAGTATTCGTTAAGTTTAAATAGAAGAATAGCTGCAGATCTGTAGCGTTATGGCTTTATATATTTGTCTTTGACCATAACGCTACAGATCCCGTAATGCTAATAAAAGTGCAATTTTCGGTGCAATATTTTGGGAAGAATTTCTACACTTTTCAGCATCGGTCAATTAAATACCTTTCACTCCCTAATTCTAAGCATATTATTTACTAATCTGTATATTTTATCCATCTCCCAACCCTTAAAAGTCATCTCTACAAGACTTTAGTGATAAACTTGCTTGATTAAAATTATTTGTTAGATTGCTGAAAATTTACTTCAAGTGAGTTTATTGCCTGTAGAGACAACTATAAATGGTTGGGAGGTGGAAAATTATAAATATTGGCTGCACAATGTGTCTAGAATTAGGAAGTGAAAGGTAGTTGATTGACCAATGCTAGAAAGTGAAGAAATTCTCCTCGAAAGAGCGCAAAAAATATTGCGCCGTAAATTGCACCTTTTTTGCATTACAGGATCTGTAGCGTTATGTTCAAAGACAAATATATAAAGCCATAACGCTACAGATCTGCAGATAATAGAGCAATAACCACAACTCGTGAAAATTTTGTCTCGCTAATCCAGAATCAATGACTATCTTGTGAAAATAAGGTGTCGTGAAAATTTAGTGATCTTCAGTAGTTATGATAAGTAATGGTGATAAGCAAAATTGTGATTGCCGTTTAGTTTAAATTACGAACCAAATTCAAGCATTGGAAAAGTGTTGCATGATGCTCAGGAGACCTATAAAGCCCATGGGCCTTTTGTTTAAATGTTTACAAACTTAATTTGTATCAATATTAAACTAAGGTCTAAAGTACAAGCTGCATGTATTTACTTTGTTAATTAATAACTTAATATCATATCATTATGTTCATGCACGGGTCTAGGGAAGGGGGTCCCCCCCCCTGGAATTTTCAGAGCTTTTAAAGCAATATGAGCTGCATCTTGGGTGTCAGAATTTTTTGTAGCAAAATTGTAAAAACTTATTTGAATGACAGAAAAATAATGTAAATTAAATTCTGTTGTTCATATTTGCGATGAAAGAAGTATTTATAAGCTTTATTTGAATCAAAAATACATTATTGTCGTCCTGTACAATAATGGTTTCTTACATAAAAGAGTATATTTGACTGCATATAGAAGTCTTTCTCCTGCTTTATTTAAGTCTAATTGATCATAAAAATATAAGTTACATACAAATGTTCTATAATAACACATTTTAACAGCAAAAGCAAATTTTCAAATATGCAGCTCATATTGCTTTAAATGTATATAATAATACTAAACCAAGTAAAAGTGACCCCCTTAGACACTCAGGACCCCTCCTTAAAAACTGGGATTTATGTGAAATTGGTATGAAAAGTCATAGGTATGAAGCTTTAAAAGTAAACAACTCTTCACCCCACCCACAAAATAGGTATTTCACTTATGGAAAAACAATTTAATTTTTTTGCTTTTGACTTGGGTGGACACCCCCTGCAAAAAAATTCTTGGATCCCCTCCTTTTATCACAATTAGGTATTTTATTTCAATATTAAATAAGGATGATAATAATAATACATGTAATACTATACTTATTAAGGGCTATATCATAGAGATACTTATATTTTTGTTTTAATATTTGTTTTTTTTTAATCGTTTAAAGTATTAATAACAATATCCCTTTTTATTTAGCTTGTACAGAAAAGAGATATAAAAGGACTTCATGGAATTCACCAACATCGAGACATTGAAGATCCTGAAGCATTCAAGTACAAGATGACAAAGCTTAGAAAGCTGAGTTGTCTTTTTCACCATTGGCCTGCCTTGCAGAGTTACTTCAGTTCCCATGACGATGTTGAGAAACCAGACAGATGAAGTGATGTACATCATATACATGTATTAAAGACAACAACCATGAACATGTATATGTGAATCAGCTTCCCAAGTTTCATTATTCATCCACTTAATGATTTTTGAAGGTAAAATTTTGAATGTCTAAATGTTTTATATAAATATTGTTCATATAAATGTACATTTAAATTAAATTTTAAAAAAATGCCTATAGGAGAAGCTGATATTTAAACATTTAAATTATTGTCTTTTATCAGGCTGATGAAGTTAAGATTGGGTACTTGAGGGACATCAAAGATGCTGGCCAAATTTCTTTTCAAGGATATGGTGGTATCCAACCTTGGCTTTCTAAATCCAGCAAATGGAGGAGATCTACCACGAACTGCCCTTACTGTGCTAGCACAGAGATTCACTTCCTTTGTGCCCACGGATCAGTGGGAACAAAGGGAAAAGGAATTCATGGATTACCAAACAACTCCTGCTCTGGACCTCCCAAGTTTTGTGGAAAACACAAGAAAAGATGTCTACTGCATGGGATAGGATTCTGGACAAAAAAATAACATCACCAAGACACCAATGTATCCAGTGATGATTGATTGATCTTATGTTGTTTAACATCCCTCTCAAGAATGTTTCACTCATATGGAGACGCCACCACTTGCCGGTGGAGAACTGCAAATTTTGTCCTATACTCGAAATTCAGGGCTATTGAGCAAAGAGGGATCTTTTTTTGTGCCAGCATCTACTGCAACTTCGGTTAGTACGGTCTTATCCAAAGGACCGGTCTCCACATCCTATAGTGGGATTGTAACCCGTTACATAAGGATCAACTCCATAATTCGTGACTCGAGAGCAGTTTCCCGTGATAGTCAAAGCCATGCTTTAATATTGTGCCTAACTCCAGTGTTGGATGTGAATGAGTCTTCTCTATGGTGAAGAAAATACAGACAGAGCCCCCTGCTAGTTTCGACAATAAAACAATCAGTGCCCTTCTTACTACCAAATTAAAAACAACAGTGTAATCTGAACCATGAAAGGACTTTCTCCAGTCTGGTGTACAGGAAAAAGGCTTGTGTTTCATATAACAAGGACTTTAGTTTTTTTTTTAAAAGTAGTGATTAACTCTTTGGCTGTTTGTGTCTTGACTGTTGACTGAAAATATTCTTAAACTAAATTTTTAACAGATCTAGAGGGAGGGACTGGACTTCTCTTCTCCTTTTTTTCCGAGAGAGAGAGAGAGAGAGAGAGAGAGGGAGATGTTTTTCTGTAATAGGTATTTCTGCGTTTAATATGTTAAAATAAAGTATCCCAATCTGTGCCTTTTCTGCTCACAAGAAAGAGTATTGAGTATTGCTTTGTTTATACAATGAAGATACCCGTTATACCACCATTGACTTGGTTACGGGCTCCGACCACCCACACAATGTCGCTTGAAACTTAAAAGGATGTCACAAAGGATTTTTATTTACATGTTTAAGTTCTTAATGGAAAGAAAAATGATCTTCTTAAATTACCATACTAGTAACATGCAAGGTTTCAACATTGGAAGATTCTGGCGAAACTTTCAGTTTGGCGATGACATTTTTGAACAATCTTCTAAAGTATCTTCCTTACAGGAATATGCAAGAAAAGGTTATAATAAGGAGTATGCTAAAGATAAATATTTTCTCCATATAGTATGAAATTATTTTAGTCAATGGAGAAAGTTATAAAACTCACCCATAATACGCGGAAGGGGGGGGGGGAGGCTTACTTTTCTGAGAGTAATCTTATGCTGAATGTACTTTTAAGGTCAAGATCTAGTAGATGAAAGATGCCTACAGATTTATAAAATTTGAGAAATTAATTTCTTTAATGATGCTTTATAACTTAAGCTTGGTCAAATAAGGTGTTTCGGGGCATAATTTGTAAGAAAACAAGTTGAAAAATCATATTTTAAACTATCATTTTAATAGAGAAATTATGCATGTTGTGTGATTCTATGAAAGGTTGGGGGGGGGGGGGCAGTAGGGAAAGCACAAACCTGGAAGACCCTTTCACAATTTGCTGGATTCGCCTCTGGTTTATGTACCTGTAAGTGATATGTCATTTTGTTAGCTTGAATTTCAATAGTAATACACAATTAAAGTAGCTATATTCAAACAATGCAGTATTGCTTTCATGTACCGTGTGCTACATATACTGTTTTTTTATTTAATTTTTTATTAATTTAAAGAAAGTATACATTTGTTTGGCTTATTAAGTTGCGTTAGATATGTTAGAATGCTTTGAATGAAATCAGAAGAAAAAAAATGTTCAAACGAAGAATATGTATCATAAATATATATGATAAAGAATAATTAAGAAATCAATGGAAAAGACAAAAAGATTCAGTTTGGACACAAGTGAAATGCATAGTTTGTGTAAAATGTACCACCCAAAATCCCCAGCTGGGACTTTCAACAGGTATAATAAACACTGGGGGTGGGGTGGGGGTCTCTTTTGCAATACAATAGATTACTACAAGTTTACAATCTGTTTTGGCTTTAAAGTTCTTTAATTATCATTTTAAATCTTCATAACATCAAGGTTTTGCGATATATATCATATCTCCACACGCAGACATAGACCTGCGCTCCCCATGTAATTCTGTAAATGATCGACGTGTGATAAGTATATATAGGCCTATAGGTCTACCCCTCTATACCATAAAATATGGATATTTTATAGTGTAGAGGGGTAGACCTATATATATACTTATCATACGTCATTTACAGAATTACATGGGGAGCGCCTATGCACGTAGAATTACATCACGGAACCTTCACATGCAACGTGTAGATAGGGTTCTGAAGACTTATTGGTTTACCTGTTTACTCTGCAGTGTCAAACAAAAAGGGTAGGGTGGGGGATGAGGGGTTGTTGTATGTATACATCCTTTGTGTTTAATTAGCACAAGCGGTAACCCCCCCCCCCCCTCTATCAGACTAGGTATTTTAACCAATTAGACAAAAGGTTGGTATTTCAAGCACGTTTATATCTTTGTAATTCTAGCTTTCTTCGATGAATACTGCATAAAATATAGTAGCATTGAACATTCACGTAAACAGGCGATTGCACGAATAATATGCGTACAAGCAGTTATTCTTACTAAAAGGTTGGTATTTCAAGCACGTTTATATCTTTGTAATTCTAGCTTTCTTCGATGAATACTGCATAAAATATAGTAGCATTGAACATTCACGTAAACAGGCGATTGCACGAATAATATGCGTACAAGCAGTTATTCTTACTTTCGCTTTGAGTGTGAGGTGACGTCATAATAACGGTCACATGGTGTGCACGGAGCTGCCTTTAGACTCGTTCTAAAAGATTTTATTACAAGTTTAGCTTTTAAAAAAAGCTTAGAGAGTCAGCCAGTGGATTTTTCTTCTCTGTGATAATGTTTCAAAGAATCATAGAGAAATGAAAAAAAATGCCTCCAACAAATTTTTAATCAGTAGCAGAGTTGGGCACTAAATTAATATTTTTTCTGCATAGGAACAGAAGCGTTTGTGCATGCAGATTCTTGAATATTTGTCTCAAAATCAAAAAAAGGGAAAGTATGTATAAACATTTAAGTTCCAATTCACGTAATATAATTCAAAGAAGTTATAAACCTACAATCTCATTATCAGATCTATAAGATTTTAGGGGGAGGGGGATATATATTATATGGACATTATGCCATTTTTAACAAAACGGAGCCCAATAAGCTTCACTGTCATCCTTGTTAGAGTTTATAATGCCGCCGGTTGAATCACTCTTGGCTATGTGTTTAGAAAACAGAAACACCCTTGTCCCTGCGATACTTAAGGACATACGCAACGTACCTTACCTACTGATAATTTTCCAAGATATTCTTAATTTAAACTTATAATATCATTACATGTTCTTAGACAAAAAATCAGCATGCGTTACCAGGGGTTTTGAAAAGATATCGAATTTTGAAAATTTTCGCATTTTTGAAATAAAAATGTACAAAAATTATAAAACATGAATTCCAGATATTTTTTCATCAAAAATTGTTCTAGAAGAGGTGTACAAATCCATATAGGCCTATAGATATTAAAAATATTGCACACAAGTCCTTCATTTAGTGGAACTCTTCAACTCCAGGGAGGAACCCAAAAAAGTTCAAACTACGTTGCGTATGACCTTAAACAGCCGTACTGAACCTTCGTTTGAGAATACAAATAAAGGATTATTGAAATACCTAGTACATTTTCTAGTACATTTTAGAATTAAAAAAAATAAACATTTATTGTTCATTTAAACAGGTAACATGTAAGCTTTGACGGTATAGCCTAAGCTTTTTTTTTTAGTTTATTAACTATCGTCATTTGACTTACTAGTAACTAGCTGAATTTTAGCTTAAAATTTTTTCATAAAAAGTAGAATTGAAATAAAGCAAACATTACTACGACCTACAAATTAATTTATCAGACCTCTTATAATATAATAAACCTATTTATTCATAAATAATATAATTCTGGTTGTAACGCTATATTTGATTGGATAAAATATTACTTTATATCGTATAAAATGGTTTGCCTACCTCACAATGACTCGCGTCAAAAACGTATCAATCCGCCCGACGTTACATTCAAATTTCGTACAAATTGAAGTCATTTTGTTAGAACAATCATCTTTTTTTCTTACATCAAATGAATGAAAATTAAATTATAAGCAATGAATTTAATAGCTACCCATTTTATACGGTATAAACTGGGTTGGAACAGTTTACGCTTTTTTATAAACCGCTTCGCGGTTTATAAAGCGTAAACTGCCCCAACCCAGTTTATACCGTATAAAATGGGTAGCTATTAAATTCATTCCTTAAATATGATTGCCACAACCTAGATTATCAGGTCGTAGTTTATGAAAAACAAGCCAATATACGGATAAAAGAAAGCATGCGCAGATCGGGGGAGGGGGGTTTCCAGGGCGGGGCCATAGGGAGTTATGGTTTACGACATTTAATTGCAAAAACTCAAAACCTTCTTGAGACATTAACTGGAAATGAAAGTTTTACACAAAGTCACACAGAAATATGAATTTATGACATTGACGTTTGAACCTCAAAATACACAGGGGTATTCCCTACGCCATATATGGCCATAGGGAGTTGTGGTATAAAATTTCATTGCAAAAGCTCAATGGGTTATAGAGATATCGCGCGAAAACAAGTGTTTAAACAGACGGAATTTCTGAATTTAATACCTTGACCTTTGACCTCAAAATCAAGAGGGTCTTCCAAAGGCCACATAAGGTGTAGACAGTTGTGTAAAATTTTACTGCAAAAGCTCAAAGACTTCACGCAATATTGCGGAAAAGTGAAAGTGTTACAGACAGACAGAACTATAGATGGACGGGCAGACAGACTGAAATTGATATTCTCTATTTCAGCGGGGGGCAACAAACGAGCAAGCTTAGCCAGTTGTGTTTTCTTTCCGAAGTATCTGTTGTATGACTTAACAAGTCTGTCAGCTTTTAGCATCGGGATCGAAATGATTTGTAGTGAAAACGAAAGTAAAAGCAGTAAAAACTGAAAAAGCTAAAAATATGTAGTAAAGCTATGTTTGTGCTGTAGATTTAAATACATAAGTAAAATACCTTCAATATATTTTATAAAAGAGCTTCAATTTACGCGTCAAACACTAAATTCATCCAAAAGTAGCAACTGTATGCTTCGCTGCGTAGAACACATGATCAGGTGCGAACCAGTTAAATTACTGCGAACCAGTAAACTGCTTGAAACCTTCTTTACAAAAATAAGCATCGGGAAATTCCTTTTTTGAGTTGAATTTACAGATTACTTTGGTGTTTAATAGGGATTTATTGGTTTATAATCTTTATTGATTTTACTGAAATAAAAATAGCAGGAATGATTTACTGCAGAACCACTCCCAGAATTCCAGGTCATGCAAGCGCATTGGAAGTTCTTCGTACCATAACTAGTCAGCCCGCGGGCTGACTAATAACACACAAGCGTCTAACTGACTATGACAACAAACAAGTCGTACATAAAATATTCTATTATGACAATATTTTAGTCATAATTTGAAGATGTTGTCAAACAAAAATGTTCCAATAAGGAATTTACATGTTGATTACTAACCAATCAATTGTACCTTGATTTTATATTAAAGTCTATGGACAGCGCATATGTTTTTTTTAAAGATATTTTAAGAATTAGTCTGAATTTCATCTACATCTACATCGTACGTTGGTCCGTCATCTTTGACGATTACTCAACGGCGCAGCGCTTTGACAACATTGTTAGAAAGATTAAAATGTAAAAACGGTTAAAAGGTTAAAAAGGGAAGTTTTCAGCTCTTCTGTCAGCAGCCAGTCCGGTAACCGTAGCGGCCCTGAGACTTACTAGTAGAGGTCTCCCCGGCATTGCCTACTGACTTCACTAGAGCTTACTTGCTCCCTGAGCCATCTAGAAGGAAAGTAATGTAAGCCCCT